CACAAACACACCGGGGTTAACAATATTCTAGGGTAAACTCAACTCACACACTCACTCTCCCCTAATTCTAGATCATTCTATCCTATTCTAGTCTAACCTACAACTAACCCGTAACACTACCCCCCACCCAAGTATTTGTAGTACATACTACAAATACTAACTAAATCCCCAAATCCTAAGTTAACCTAGAGGGCGAAAACAAACAGAGACAAAATAAATAAATAAATAAATAAAATAATTTTAAAAAACAAACAAAAAAAATAAAAAATAATGATTTGACAGGTATACTACATCTCTTTGTACATGAATCCAAGACAAACAACCGAGTAAAAATAAGCGAAAAAAAAACAGCAAAAAAAAAAACAAACCAACAAATCTGTGGTTTAAATTACAATTTACATCTCAGACTCCCGATCTAAAATTTCTTGACAAAAAATCCGCTAGAAGATTATCCCTCCCCGGAATGTGTTCTATAGTAAATTTATATTCCTGTAGCAGTAAGGACAAGCGTGTCAGTCTGGCATTATTGAACCTACATTTATGAAGGTATTTTAGAGCACGCTGGTCCGTCTGCAGTACAAAGCTAGCGTTGTATAAATACAACGCTAGTTTGCCTGTGGCCCAGACAATTGCTAGGCACTCTCTTTCTATAGTAGAGTACCGAGTCTCTCTCGGTTGGAGTTTTCTACTGATGTATTTTACTGGTCTTAGGACCCCATTTCTCATTTGCATCAAGGCTGCCCCGATACCTCGTGACGAGGCGTCGGTCCTGAGAATAAATTGCTCATTAATATTAGGTAAACTAAGAAATGGTTCTGAGTTCAAGTGTTTCTGGACCAGTCTTAAAGCACGGTTACATTCATCTGACCACACGACCTTTTCAGGTTTACCCTTTGCTAACAAGTCTGTCAGTATTGCGTTGGCCTCGCTGAATTCTGGTATAAATTTAGCATAATACCCTATAAGACCCACTAATGATCTTACCTCTTTCTTTGTGGTGGGTATTGCTACGTTTAAGATTTTGTTTACCTTGTTTCTCTCTGGTGTCAGTAGCCCCCTCCCCACTATGTGCCCTAGGAAATTAATTTTTTCAAACCCTAGCTCTAATTTGGCAGGTCTTACTGTCAGGCCCGCGTCCCTCAATCTATTGAACACCGCCTTTATTGCCATAAGGTGTTCCTCCCATGTCTCGCTGTAGATACAGATGTCATCAAAAAATGACACCACATTTTCCAAGTCTTTTAATACGACTTGCATTAATCTGGCGAATGTGGCGGGTGCCGTGCATAGGCCAAAGGGCAGGTAATTAAACTGAAATAGGCCCCAGGGTGTGACAAATGCGGTGAGTTTTTTGCTGTCATTTTGCATGGGGATCTGCCAATACCCTTTTGTGAGGTCGAGTTTAGTAAAATATTTTGCCCTATTTAATTTAGCGAACAGCTCATCTGTATCTGGGATGGGTTCCGCGTCGTAGACTGTGACTGCGTTAAGTCTCTTATAGTCTACACAGAACCGTGTCGACCCATCTTTTTTCTTAACTAGTACTACAGGTGCGCTGAAGTCGGAGTCGGACCTCTCTATTATCCCCAGTCTCTCTATTTCGTCCATCTCTTTCTTCATAAGCTCTCTTCGGGCGTATGGTATGCAGTAGGGTTTCGTTCTTATTGCTCTGGTGTTGGTCAGTTTTATTTTATGTTCTAGTAAACTTGTTTTTCCAGGTAAGTTGCTAATTACAGCTGTGTACTCTTGGATAATTTTGTCTAGATCCGTCCGCTGTGTTTTTGTCAGGGTGTCTCCTATTTTGATATCACTTAACTTAGTTTCCTCCAGTATGTCAGGAGTTTTTATTGTGTCCAATGGAATACCCGGTTCCATGTCCTCCTCATCTGTTAGTGATACTTGGTTTTCTTCTTCTGCCTCCACCACTCCTGACACTGCCGCTAACATGGGGTGTCCCTTGCTGTCGTCTGGTTTTTGTCTGTGATGGTACAGCATCATCCGATTTACATGGACCACCTTAGTGCTGTCCCCTGTTTTAATAACATAGTCCAAGTCTCCGATTTTTTTTAAGACTTCGTAAGGTCCCGCCCACCTTAACTCTAGTTTGTTTAATAGTTGGGGCTTCAGTATCAGTACATGATCCCCCACTTTGATATCTTTGGTTGTGGCTGATCTATCGTAGTAGCTCTTTGCTTTATCTTTCTCATTTTCTGATTTGCGGGTTGCATAACTGCATGCCGTTTGCAAGTGCTGCTTAAGGTCCAGCAGGTAGTCATATGCAGCTCTTGTCTTATATTCCCTTACTTCTCCTGTGAGGATATCCTTTAGGATGCTCATCGGGCCCCTCACTTTCCTGCCGAACATAAGTTCGAATGGCGGGTAACCAGTGCTTTCGTTTGGAACTTCTCTGTATGCGAAAAGTGCTGCTGGGATGAACACGTCATCCTTGTCTATAGCTACTTTCTTTAGCATTTCCTTCAAAGTTCCATTCCATCGTTCTACCGCCCCGTTGGCCATGGCGTGATATGCCGAAGCGTGAATGATTTTAATCCCCAACATTTTAGACACGGTGCAGAAAATTTCCGACGTGAACTGGGTCCCGTTATCTGAGAGTATGACTTCCGGGAATCCCATCCTCGTGAAGATGGAGAGTAGCGCATCTTGGATCTCTGCTGCCGTTACACTTTTCAGCGGTACGGCTTCTGGCCACCGTGTGCATATGTCTACGGCTGTGAGTATGAATCTGTTCTTTTTTTTCGTTTGAGTTAGTGGCCCCACAATATCTACGGCGATTTTCTCAAACGGTTGTCCCACTACCTCAGTTCTACCCAGAGGCGCCTTGCCACCAACATTCTTTTTGCTTTTCTGGCAGACATCACAACTTTCGCAGTAACGCCTGATCTCCTCCCCTGCCCCTGGCCAGATAAATTGTGACAGAATTCTGGCTTTCGTTCTTGCTACACCCATGTGCCCCGCCATAGGTGTGTCGTGTCCTAATTTCAGGATGGTGGGCCTAAGTCCCCTTGGGATTGCTAGTCTAATCTGATCTTCTGTTTTGCTGTGTTTTATGATCTTATATAATAACCCATCTATCGTTTTACATTGTTTGCCCTTTTCCGCGAGCTTCCACCACCTAGCTAATGTTTTGTCTTCGCTCTGTTGCGTTTTAAAATCTTTCGATGTCGTTATTTGGTCTAAAATCTTATGCCCCGGCTCATTTCTCTGGTTGCCCCATGCTCTAAGTTGTCCTCTGGTTTCTACCGCCGCTAATGTTAGCGAATCTTCCCTCGGTAATTTCGCGCCTGCTACATTCCCTATTATAAGTTCAGCGGGTGGATCATCTAAAAGGACGGCAAAGAACTCTCCCGTAAGGTATGGTGTTTCTATGTTGACTACAGCTCCTGGTACTCTTTTCTTATCTCCATCCGCGGTCTTTATGGTTATCCATTCTTTTGTCCATCTATTTCTTGGGACTAGAGCTTTTCGACAGGCTACGACTACAGAGCCCGTATCCCGTAGGACGGTCACCGTCCTCCCATCCAGTTTTCCTGCAACTATAGGAAGTGACCCTCTGTCGCTTATGAATCTCCGATTAGCTCCAATGTTCCCTACAGGGACAGCGCCCTTTACTTGACTTAGGCATTGTCCACAGTCGCCGCACTCCCCGCTGAACTCTGGTACTAGTCATATGTCTTGAATGTCCCTGAAGCCTACCCTTCTCCCTCTGTACTCATGTCCAATTTGTCTACGATTGGACCGGCACCCCGCCGCTATGTGCCCCTCAGCCCAACAGTTAAAGCATGTGATTGGGCGTCTTCTGTGACTAATATTACTACTCGGCCTAGGTTGGACCGGGCTTTGTCCTCTTCTCTCCCGTTGAAGGGTGACTTCATTTCTTGTGACCCATTCCTCTCTAATGGGGCTCTTAGATCTAGGTCTTAGGGTTCGTTTGTCCTTGTCCTCTCTAAAGGGATTCCTAGATCCTGATGCAAGTGCCATGGGGGCAACAAATGCGTCCTCTGTCACGTCGATCGGTTTTAATTTTCTGTCTGGGTAGATGTCAAAGTAGTTGTCACAGGCATTTTCTACGTCTGCTATTGTCCTCGGGTTTTGTCTGAGGATGTGCTGTCTTATGTCTTGTCCGACTGTTCTCACTATTTTGTCTTTTAAGAGTAGGTCAAACAGTCCGTCAAATGTCTTGTCACACTTGCTAGCTTCGACCCATCTTCTCAAGTAGTGTCGTACCCTCCTAATGTAACTCCCTGCTCTGTCTTGTTCTGATGGTTGGGCGCTATTAAACTTATCACTGTATCCTTGCTCCGTCAAACCAAAGTGTTTTAGGACCTCCCTTTTCAGCTTCCCATAATTCTCTTCTGCTCCCAATTCTGTTAACCACGATTCGCAGCCTATATCTAGCAGAACTTTCCTAAACTCGTGGCACCAAAACTTATCTTCTAAACCTATTTCTCGGGCTTCCCTTTCAAAAATGTCAACCACCACCTCCATATCTGTCTGGTCTCTACTGTTTCTCAGTCCAGTCAGCTTAATTCTTGGGGTCTGTGCCCTACCCCTGCCCTTTATGTCTTCCTCCCTGTTCCCCTTCTCCATTGCTAGTTCCAGCTCCTTCAATTTTAGTCTTTCTTCTGATTCAATTTTAGCCCTAGTTAGTGCCCTGTCTGCAGCCCTCTCGTCCCTTTCAGCCTGCTGCCTAGCCTTAGCCTCCGCCTCTAACAATTTAGTCTCAGCCCATTCCAACAGCTCCCTTCCCTCTAGTTTACATCTTTCCCCTAACGCTATAAAATGCTCTAGCGTTAAGCCTTCGCTAGCCATCTCACCTTATCCACTTAGGATTGGATGCCAAAATTGTAATACCCAATATAATGTTAGGCAAGGGTAATCCCCGGTTGTGAGTACCGTGCCCCAGACTAATTCAAAAACACTTACCTCAAATACAAATCTGTTGTAGTAGTCCCTTCCCCTACTTTAGCCCTTCAAAAACAATGGTAAATCCTGTAATGGCCGGGTCATGTGAAGACGAAGACCTGGATCGACAAAGACAAAAGTCCTGTGACGGCAAGGCTCTGTGCTGGTAAAATCCCAGGATGGTAGAGTCCAGTGATGGCGACTTTCTGTTCAGATAAAGTCCACGGATGGTAGAATACCGTGATGGCGACTTCCTGTTCTGATAAAGTCCAATGATGGTAGAATCCCGTGATGGCGACTTTCTGTTCTGATAAAGTCCAATGATGGTAGAATCCCGTGATGGCGACTTTCTGTTCTGATAAAGTCCAAGGATGGTAGAACCCAGTGATGGCGACTTTCTGTTCTGGTAAGGTCTCAGGATGGTGACGTCTAGTGGTGGTAACGTCCAGTGGTAATGACGTTCTGATTGCGACTTTCTGTTCAGGTAAGGTCCCAGGATGGTATAGTCCAGTGATGATGACGTCTAGTGATGGTGACGTCTAGCGATGGTGACGTCTAGTGATGGTGACTCCCAGTGGTACTGGCGTTCTGATGGTCCCAGGATGGTATAGTCCAGTGATGATGACGTCTAGTGATGGTGACGTCTAGCGATGGTGACGTCTAGTGCTGGTGACTCCCAGTGGTACTGACGTTCTGATGGTCCCAGGATGGTATAGTCCAGTGATGGTGACGTCTAGTGATGGTGACGTCTAGTGATGGTGACATCCAGTGGTAATGACGTTCTGATGATTGCGCTATCTTTACTTTAATACTGGCCACCAGTTGTTACGTCCGGGTTAGATTCGAATTCAAGAACGACTCGGGTTAACGTTCGATACGTTTATTAGGTCTCACATATCACATTACAACATAGCCCTCGACCTAACCCTGCCAACTAACTAACCCTGACAACCATTCACTCCAGCTTTTATACCGCATTCGACCTTGGGATAACAATACACAAACACACCGGGGTTAACAATATTCTAGGGTAAACTCAACTCACACACTCACTCTCCCCTAATTCTAGATCATTCTATCCTATTCTAGTCTAACCTACAACTGACCCGTAACAATGTACATATATTACATTCGGTAGGTCCAAAAATAATATAAAACATGAAAGCTTTGTATAAGTAATGGTGTCTCGTGTTATGTTTATTTTTGTTTTTATTTAAATATTTTATTTTAAATATTATTGATTTAATACATTTCTTTTTTATACAATGTCATTCTTCAGTAATTACTTATAAAAAAAATAATAATTAAGAGAAGTAATTGGTTTTTAATTTTTTAGTACAAATCTATTAAAAGGAGCTTATTATCACCCCTATTTGACTATTTTTGTTTAAAAAGGGAAATAAGTCATGGAAGCGGTTTGAACATTTGCTTATCTTTGATAAGTTTGATTGTAGGAGAAAGACTCGGCTTTCACAGTGGTTTAAAAAACAAAGGGAAAAAGAATATACAAGAGCGTGGGGTGGTGTCTATAGAATAAAGATATTCCAACCGCAGCTACGGTAATTTCTTGCAAAACAACCATAAGTCAAAAATGAAAGAAAACGTACTTTTTTTTTAACTATAAAAAAATTTATTATGGTCGGCTCTGGGCCCCTAAATGGCGTGGGCCCCCCCCCCCCCCCGCAATGCGGGGTCTGGCGGCACTGTAGTTCCGCCGCTGCTGTATGAATATATTTAAAACATACACATACACGTAAGCACACAAGCACGTACTCATACAGAGACACACACACACACTTCTTAAAACATTGCTGGAAGCAATGTTGTCTCATGTTGTCTAGAAGGGGGGAAAAGTGTGGGCTTGTCTCAATTTGGGCCTATCCATCCAACCATATGTTGCAGAACTGTGGTAACTACGAGAATAAATGAAATTAAAGCCCGAGTTGTAAGGCCTGAATAAGGCTTAATGCATTGCTGTAGGCTCATACCACCCCGTCATCACAAAATAGACCGGCACCCTATAAAAATATAATTTATGATAATATAAAGTGGACAAACCTCACCGCTTCACACACTTGCTGTTAAATTTAAGCCCCTAAGGTTTCATTACAAATTATTAGAACCACATAACTGTAAAACGTAGTTGCTAATCTACACACCATAAAAGCCAAAATTCTAAAGAAAACTGGGTTGTTTTTTTTTTTAAATTATTTCTATTTGTATAAAATATAAAAAGTACAGCACGTTATCTATAATATTGCCTACTACGTCATATTTCTAAATTTGGTTTGTGACGTTTTTACGTACAAGCCTTCCCATAAGTTTTGATTTTATCAATATCAAGAAAAGAAAATTGATTCACCCCAATAGCACCAGACATGCTTTTTTTTACCGTAAAGTTTCATTAAACTCTCTGCTAATTCAATACAAGTACCCGTAAAAATCAATAATCATGCTATGTATACAGGTGACCTGGTTTTAGCTGATGTTAATCCAGTTTAAGTCTTGATTACACGCATGACTGATTGCCGAGGTCACGCTTACTCGACCATACGAATATTCTATTTATACATTCTTTCACACGGGGAAAAACTAGGCATGGGAAATATTTTTTTAGAAAAATACCATCAACATGCTGTTCGAATGAGACATTTCTCAGTTGGCTGTGATACCAGTTTTAGCAGAAGATCAAAGTTATAAAATATGCATCTATTTCCTTACATGACTCTTATTGTGAGGGGAAGGGGAAAATGGGTGATCAACGTAACGTTACAAATACAGGTAAAGATCAGTGTTTCTTCTAGACTGTTTTCTCCGGGTGGCACTTGAAATTTTCCGGGGGGGGGGGGGGGGGGGGGCGACTAAAATTTTCGGAGGGGGGACGAGACACTGTTAAAAGTATATTTTTTTTCTGTATAAATTCTATTTAGTTCGGATGGCGGGGGGGGGGGTAGACTTTCTCTTCGATTTAAATCGGAAATAAAAGTATTACAGTAGGAGCTATCTGTACACATAATTGAGTGTTTCTTAGATCAATACCACGTTTTGCTGTAAATGTATTTATACTTATCGTTTTTCAAAATACCTTCATGTCTGGGGAAATATAATTATATTCACAGAGGATTACCAAACCAGATAAAATAATTGAATATTGAAATCAACAGTATGTTCATTACATTCACTACAGACAAACGGGGTGGTTCCATTTAAAATACTAAAAAAACGTACCAATTTGTTTGGCGTTTATAATTTAGAGCCCTTAATAAAAAAAAATACTTTGACATAGGAAAGATGAAGGAAGTTAAACAAAAAAGCGTTATGAATCGCTTAGGGAAGAGATACAACTTTTTTTTAAATAAGCATATTAGCGTATGTATTCTTTGTAAAGAAGACAGTTATCCTTTGAATGAGGCGAGCAGTCTAGCTTCTGCATATTTTGGTAACTTTAAAAAAAAAATTATTTACAAAGAAAATAAATGTTTAATGTTTTCGAGACAAACTGAAAGTTTCCATACAACATTAAAACTGTATTTTAGTTTAGTGATTATGTTAATGAATTTAATATTGTAATTTATGTAAACGTAGTTATTTCTTAAACTATCAAAAATACATATTTCGATTTAAAACTTCCTCTTTGTCAGTCTTTGACAAACAAAAAAAGGAAGGAACAATGAAAGGTGTTTTAACATTTTAACAAACGTTATTATTTTCATTAATATTAGGCCTATATTGTACATTGTATTATTTATGGCCTATAAACTGACTAGGCATACTGCCTAGCTTCGCTTAGGTTTTTAAAAGGCATTTGAGAATTTGAATACTTAATTATTTAGCAATGGATTGGGTGTGGAGTGCTTTAATAAGTTTAATAAGTTTAATTTAAACAGTAATGCTAACTTTAGAAAAAATGTTTTTGTTAGTCATTTACATGCAGATTCGTAGCTAATTTTTGGAAAGTACGCAATGTATAACTAAAATGGAATTAGAACTACACAGGTTTCATGAACAGTATATCTCATAGTTTATATTACATTGCCTTTTGAAATTAATTAATTAATTTAATTAACATACTTAACTAAATTAACAACTTAATTTTGTACTAAAACAAATGCTATACTTCGTCATTTTCTGTTTCTGTTTAAAATAGTATACAATTATTTGAAAAATAATAATTTTAAAAACGTTACCTCCCTTGAAAACTGAACGTATGACGTATGTCATTGTTTACTTATATTGTTTGCTTATATAAGAAATTACGTTATATGAACTTATTTAACGACTATAATGGCTGTTTCCGACGGGAATAAAGTTTTTTTGTTACCCTCCATGGTCGGTCTACGACGTCACATAATATTAAGGGGATCGTTCGTCAATTTATTTATATATATAGATATATATATATCTCATATAAGGAGAATTTCACTCAAGATCATCTTTTAGCCCTCGTCGAGGGCTTTGAGTCTGACCAACAGTTTTTCCATACGGCCTAGTCATCTATAGTAGTGTATGCAAAAACTTAGCATGATGTACAGACATTAAGTAACCTAAAAATTGTGTTCAAATTTCCCTGTTTTTCCCATAAAATACAAAGATTATATAGGGAAATACAACTGGTCAGTTTTGACCGCTTTACGAAGTTTTCCCAGAATTGCCGAGTTTTTTATGAAACCCCTAGGTGTTCTTCTACCACCTCACAAAATATCAAGGGGGGTCGTCGGAGGAAATTTTTTTTCGTAATAGAGCTCATATAAAGAGAATTTCACTCGCGGTCACTTTTTAGCCCTCGTCGAGGGCTTTGAGTGTAACCGACAGTTTTCCCTAAAGGTCAAGCCATTGACCTAGGAGCATGCAAAAAATTAGCCAGATATACTGAGCTTAAGTACCCTAAAGTCTGCGTTGAAATGACCCTCTGTTTTTCCCATAAAATACAAAGATTATATAGGGAAATACGACTGGTCAGTTTTGACCCCTTTACGAAGTTTTCCCAGATATGCCGAGTTTTTTGTGACACCCCTAGGTGTTCTTCTACCACCTCACAAAATATCAAGGGGGGTCGTCGGAGGAAATTTTTTTTCGTAATAGAGCTCATATAAAGAGAATTTCACTCGCGGTCACTTTTTAGCCCTCGTCGAGGGCTTTGAGTAAGACCGACAGGTCTGCCCTACGGTCAAGCCATTTACCTATAAACATGCCAAACATTAGCCAGATGTAAACAGGGTAAGTGCCCTAAAATCCGTTTTGAAATGACCCTCTGTTTTTCCCATAAAATACAAAGATTATATAGGGAAATACGACTGGTCAGTTTTGACCGCTTTACGAAGTTTTCCCAGATATGCCGAGTTTTTTGTGACACCCCTAGGTGTTCTCCTACCACCTCACAAAATATCAAGGGGGGTCGTCGGAGGAAAAATTTTTTCGTAATAGAGCTCATATAAAGAGAATTTCACTCGCGGTCACTTTTTGGCCCTCGTCGAGGGCTTTGAGTAAGACCGACAGGTCTGCCCTACGGTCAATCCATTTACCTATAAACATGCCAAAAATTAGCCAGATGTAAACAGGGTAAGTGCCCTAAAATCCGTTTTGAAATGACCCTCTGTTTTTCCCATAAAATACAAAGATTATATAGGGAAATACAACTGGTCAGTTTTGACCGCTTTACGAAGTTTTCCCAGATATGCCGAGTTTTTTGTGACACCCCTAGGTGTTCTTCTACCAACTCACAAAATATCAAGGGGGGTCGTCGGAGGAAATTTTTTTTCGTAATAGAGCTCATATAAAGAGAATTTCACTCGCGGTCACTTTTTAGCCCTCGTCGAGGGCTTTGAGTGTAACCGACAGTTTTCCCTAAAGGTCAAGCCATTGTCCTAGGAACATGCAAAAAATTAGCCAGATATACTGAGCTTAAGTACCCTAAAGTCTGCGTTGAAATGACCCTCTGTTTTCCCCATAAAATACAAAGATTATATAGGGAAATACAACTGGTCAGTTTTGACCGCTTTACGAAGTTTTCCCAGATATGCCGAGTTTTTTGTGACACCCCTAGGTGTTCTTCTACCACCTCACAAAATATCAAGGGGGGTCGTCGGAGGAAATTTTTTTTCGTAATAGAGCTCATATAAAGAGAATTTCACTCGCGGTCACTTTTTAGCCCTCGTCGAGGGCTTTGAGTGTAACCGACAGTTTTCCCTAAAGGTCAAGCCATTGTCCTAGGAACATGCAAAAAATTAGCCAGATATACTGAGCTTAAGTACCCTAAAGTCTGCGTTGAAATGACCCTCTGTTTTTCCCATAAAATACAAAGATTATATAGGGAAATACAACTGGTCAGTTTTGACCGCTTTACGAAGTTTTCCCAGATATGCCGAGTTTTTTGTGACACCCCTAGGTGTTCTTCTACCACCTCACAAAATATCAAGGGGGGTCGTCGGAGGAATTTTTTTTTCGTAATAGAGCTCATATAAAGAGAATTTCACTCGCGGTCACTTTTTAGCCCTCGTCGAGGGTTTTGAGTAAGACCGACAGGTCTGCCCTACGGTCAAGCCATTTACCTATAAACATGCCAAAAATTAGCCAGATGTAAACAGGGTAAGTGCCCTAAAATCCGTTTTGAAATGACCCTCTGTTTTTCCCATAAAATACAAAGATTATATAGGGAAATACGACTGGTCAGTTTTGACCCGTTTCCCGATTTTTCCCGGACATGGCGAGTTTTTTGTGACACCCCAAGGCGTTCTCCTACCACCTCACAAAATATCAAGGGGGGTCGTCGGAGGAAATTTTTTTTCGTAATAGAGCTCATATAAAGAGAATTTCACTCGCGGTCACTTTTTAGCCCTCGTCGAGGGCTTTGAGTAAGACCGACAGGTCTGCCCTACGGTCAAGCCATTTACCTATAAACATGCCAAAAATTAGCCAGATGTAAACAGGGTAAGTGCCCTAAAATCCGTTTTGAAATGACCCTCTGTTTTTCCCATAAAATACAAAGATTATATAGGGAAATACGACTGGTCAGTTTTGACCCATTTCCCGATTTTTCCCGGACATGGCGAGTTTTTTGTGACACCCCAAGGTGTTCTCCTACCACCTCACAAAATTTCAAGGGGGGTCGTCGGAGGAAATTTTTTTTCGTAATATAGCCCATATAAGGCGCCGGTCAGTCGAGGTCAGTTTTGACCCCTTCTCCGTAGACTTTTCGGCCAACCGTCACCGGCCTTCGTGTTCTATCGCCCGAAGGCACCATCGTGCCAAATTTGACGCGCCTGCGGCGCCGGGAAGTGCCCTATCGGGCACCCGACCACTTTGCTTTATATATATAGATGACACTTTTTTTATAATAGTAAATCACAAGCTTTGTAGATATAATTTATTTACCAAAAAAAGTATCAATCATAGTCTTTAAAAATTAAATTGTTGAAATTAGATAATGCTTATGCTATTGTTGACAAAGATTGTTTTTAACGGTGTTAATTCCCTTTGGGCTTTAAGCGCAACCTTCAATCAAGTTGCGTCAGCCGCAGGCTAATCAATATAATGTTACCTGTGTACTGTAATGGCATGCAGCAGAGTGGCGCAGTGGAAGCGTGCTGGGCCCATAACCCAGAGGTCCGTGGATCGAAACCACGCTCTGCTAATTATATTTTTTTCTTTGATATTGTATTATATTTTTTGTACAAAGTGTCTTTTCGGCGTGACAACTGATTGCATACTAAGTGGTCGTCCAGAAATGACGTTACACTCGGAGTGGAGAGGGGTCCGTAATTTTGTGATGATAGTGTGACGTCACACTTTTACATTATAAAAAACATTGTTAGAAAACTTATTTTAGCCGTGATTTCGAGTTCTAGGAAACTGATTTAATAAATTGTAGTAGAAATTGATTAAAATACTCTATGTTGACAGAATTCAGACAAGATTTTCGAAAAATACCGATGTGTTATGAAAAATTCAACTGCAATTTTGAGGGGGTTTGTAGGATGAGGTGTGACGTAATTTTAGGGGTTGTCTGGCCTTTTGTGACGATGTATGACGGAGGGGAGGGGGAGGTAAAATCGTCCCAAAAAGCGTGACGTCGTTTATGGATGACCCATAAGAAATGAAAGTTTTTTTTGTAATGTTATGCAATATATTCCAATAGAGAAAATGAATGCTAGTTAGTTAAATTTAACTCTGCAGTTAATACTTGCTGATACATTAAAATGAGCAAATCTAGTTATTAGCTGCTTAAATCACAACATTTATTCGCGATTTTAGACCGTAAACTTCAACAAAAATCAAGTACAAAAAACATGTTTGGAGCAGCGGGGTATCGATCCCCGTACCTCTCACATGCAAAGCGAGCGCTCTACCACTTGAGCTACAACCCCGTCTACACTGGCCGTCAAGATATGAAAAGTAATGAATTGGCGTATCTTGGATGGAAAACTGACATAGATTTACACTGATACGTAGACAGATGAGCAGTTTCTGTAGGTTTACTAGGTAGCCTTATTCACATTTTCTTCCAGGCATATCTTCGGGGGGAGGGGGGGGGGGTCGGCCGAAGAAAGACTACCGCCCCCCCCCCCCCCCCCGAACTAATTTATATAGAAATATATACTTTTAACAGTGTCCGCCCACCCGGACATTTTAGTGTCCCCCCTCCCCCCGAAATTTCAAGTGCCCCCCCCCCACCACCACTCCCCCCCCCCCCCCCCGGAGAAAACACTGGAAGAAACACTGGCCCTATTTTAGTATTGCCCTACCAGCCTTGTGCATAAGTCGTGCTCTATCAGAAAATATGATTGTTGTCAACGGTGTTAATTCCCTTTGGGCTTTGATTGGCTTTGAGCACAAACTGCTAACAAGTTGCGTCAGCCACAGGGAAATCAATATAATGTTAGCTGTGTGACATAGTGGCAAGCAGCAGAGTGGCGCAGTGGAAGCGTGCTGGGCCCATAACCCAGAGGTCCGTGGATCGAAACCACGCTCTGCTAATTAATTTTTTATTAATATTGTATTGTACAAACCATTTTTTGTTACATGATTCACATAGAAACTGTTTCTGTGTTTTTTAACTAATATTTTCGTCCAGGGTTTTATTTTTGTTTAAACAAACGCCGATAAGTTTGTTGCAAGTTCATAAAAAAATATTCTCTTACCGTCCAATACACAACCTCCTCGACATTTACACAATCACATTTACATTTTTTTACGAGATTTTAGTCACGTCTTTATTTCATTACCTCCTTATACTCCTCTAGTTATTAGTAATAATTTAGGCATTAATTAAACTAATTTCGAAACTTTGCTTTGCTAATAGTTCGTATACACCCAACCTTTATTTATCGTTGATTGGTAAATTGACCTCATCTGATGGGTCTTTTATGGTGAAATCTAGGTTTTAAAAAGGCCATCTTTAATAATGATTAATTAATAATGATTTTTTTCTAATTTTTTGTTCCTGCCCACGCAGGTTGGCAGATTTTTTGTCTGCTTTTGGTCTGACGAGAACATCAGACGAGGATCTTTGCAGTCAGTTCAATTATCTCTGGAGCTCTCTGCTCGTCACTGCTATGGGTCTTTTTATCACGCTAATCCAGGTGAGATTGGTACCTGTCTTCTTAGGTGTGCTTGGTGTTGTTTTTTTTTTTTGTTTTTTTTTTTTACTTTCTATCTGTGTTGTCAAGTGGGCGTGGTGTTTTATAATTTGACTTCGTGTGGCTAGGGGGGGGGGGGGGGGGGGTCATCCATAAACGACGTCACACATTTTTTGACGATTTTTACCTCCCCCTTCCCCTCCGTTACAAGTCGCCACAAAAAGCCAGACCCCCCCCCCCCCCCCCCGCTAAAATGACGTCACACCTCAGCCTACAATCCCCCTCAAAATTGCAGTTGTATTTTTCTTAAAATACGATATTTTTCCAAAACCTTGTCTGAACTCTGTCAACATAGAGTATTTTAATCAATTTCTATCACAATTTATTAAAACAGTTTTCTAAAACGCGAAATATCGGCTAAAATTCGTTTTCTAACATTTCTTTTTTATAATGCATAAGTGTGATGCCACACCATCTAAACCACCACCCCACCCCCTCCACACACCTTCACAAAATTACGGACCCTCCCCCGTACGAGTGTGATGTCATTTATGGACGACCCTTTAGAATGTATAAATGAATCGACAACACTGATCAATGCGTAATAACCTTCGAAGTCCACAAGTAACTTACTGTCGTTATCTTTCTACATTTCACTCCATTACTCGAAACCCTACCTAATCTTTTAAAATGTATGCTGTTAATTAGACTCAGTTTGCTTTGAAATGTATTTCCTTATGTGCAGTGTTTCTTCCAGACTTTTTTCTCCGGCGGGTGGGGGGGGGGGGGCACTTGAATTTTTTCGTGGGGCGGACTAAAATTTCCGGGGGGGGGGTGTCGGACACTAATAAAAGTATATATTTTCTATATAAATTCCATTTCGTTGGGGGGGGGGGGCGGTAGACTTTCGATGCCTGGAAGAAACTCTGCTCATGTGTTCTTCCGTTCCTCTATTCCTCTAGTACACGGGTAAATCCCATTGAATGCTGGTGTCCAGCTGAACTGCCCGAGGTCCAGTGCAACTACACCAAAGCTCTGTGCTGGGTCAAACAGAACTATTACGTGCACGAGGTAAGCGCCCCATCAGGGACTGTATCAGCCCACGCAAACTTTATTGGTTTACCTAGTTGTATCCAGAGGTCCGTGGATCGAAACCACGCTCTGATAATTTATGAAAATATAATCTTCGCAAAGTACTTCTTGCACCCGCGTAACTTTTATTCCTAATACTAGGCATAATTTCATCAGAAATCCAGAGGCGTAGCGAGGGGGGGGGGGTACATATGTCCCCGGGAGCCGACCCTAGGGGGCGAAAAATGGGTTGAAAAAAACAATTAAAAGCTCATTTTATCTGCAGTTTTGCATTATAAATATAAAAGAATATAGGGGGGGGGCGCCAAATTGAAAGTTTGTCCCGGGTGCCGGGAAGGGTCGCTACGCCTCTGCAGAAACCTTTTGCTGTAATACAATTAGCTTCAGAGTAATCAGAGAAATATATAAAACACTCTGGTCCAAAGTAGTGATACATTGTGAATTTAATTGTGGAATAAAGTAGATATGCCAAAGAATTTTTTTGGATTTTTTTTTTGGTAACACAGTGGATATTTTGCTGTGATGTTCATGGTTGTGATTAGAATAATAAAGTCATAGTAGAGTGTTTGGGATAAGCGCTAGGATTAAAATAGCAATACAAACTAAGGAAATGAAATAGTAATAATACCATGGCACCGCTTTAATAAAACACCTGGATGATTATAGATACCGGTGTTCGATAATGGAATCTTCTTTAAAAAGGGGTGTTAGGTTGTTAGTAGTATTGTAATCTCGACTAATTTTATGGTTAGAAATTAGGGTTAGGGGTATGGTAGGTCCAGGGTTGGGGTTAGGGACAGGGTTAGCATTGACATTAGCCAGCCATGTGTGTATTTAGTTAACTACCAGTAACCTAACACCCCTTTTTTAAAGAAGATTCCATTATCGGACACCGTGTAAACCTTCTCCCAAACACCTTTCTGTGTTCCAGGACCAAGACGTCAACCAGGTCCCAGATGAGCGCTACAGCATGACCATCGCCTACTACCCCTGGGTCCCGTGGATCCTCTTCTTTGTGGCCGCCATCATGAAACTCCCACACTACGTCTGGCACTCGTTTGCGCATTCTTCCGGTCTGAACCTCATCCGGCTCATTGATCTGGCCAACGGCCTCGAGGAAACTGAAAAGTTTAGCCAAAATCGTCCAGTTGTGGCTGGTTCGGAACTCCGAACCTCCAAGAAGCACGATACTGAGTAAAGTCAAACACTACTTAGGCAGCGCGGGGTGTTTTTGGTTTGGCAAGAAACATAAAACTTATCTGGCCGGATTGATTCTGTTCACTAAGTTGACTTACTTGTTGGTATCTATTGGCGTACATATGAGCCTCAATTTTTTCATTGAGGAAGATTTCCTATGGTACGGTTATGAGGTATTTGAAAGTTATATAAAGGGGATCCCGCAAATTTCAGCGCGATTTCCCGTTCAGACCCTTTGCGATATGGAAATACGGCTGGCTACTGGTATAAACCGGTACAGTATTCAATGTATTTTACCTATAAATAGGTACAGTGAGAAGATATTTATATTTCTGTGGTTTTGGCTGCTAATGCAGATTATTGTCAACGCATGGAGTCTTTTTAAATGGGGACTTCGGTTACTTTCCCCAACTGATAGACGGCGGTTCGTACAAATTTACGTTGAGATTACTCTACATTTGCAACAACAGCGGAAATTGAGAGACGGGGTTGACACGGAAGAAGACTCAAACCTTTCAACTTTCGAAAATTATCAAAACCATGATACAAACGTTCAACCGGTTATAGCCAACGGGACGGACACCGTGAATAAACCACGTCGTCGGTTAAAAATTCAGCTCAGACGACCATTACGCAGATTTTCACCAACGGCTTCCGTTTTCCCAAACAGGTCATACACTGACCTCAGTATAGAAGCAAGCGAACGCGAGGCTTTGGAGTTCGAGGATATGGAGCGACGTGAAAAAGTTGAACTGAAAAGAAAGAAACGAATCAATAGGATAACAACACGCATGGTGAAACGTTTGGGGCATGATGGAATTGTTGTGTTCCGAACATTGGAAGACGCTGTAGGGATTGTAATGGCCAACCAGATCTTTCAAGCTCTCTACGAACAGCTGACTAGCACTCTACACTACTCATAGAACAGATTTTCTTAAATTATTTTTAATTGTAATTTTGGATGGGATATCATCAGTGTTTCTTCCAGACTTTTTTCTCCGGGGGGGGGGGGGGGGCACTTTAAATTTTCGGGGGGCGGTAGACTTTCTTCGGGGGGGGGGGGGGGCGGACACTGTTAAAAAGTATATATTTTCTATATAAATTATATAAATTTCATTTCGTTCGGGGGCGGGTAAAAAAATTTCGGGGGGGGGGGGGGGGGGGGGCGAAGAGATGCCTGGAAGAAACTCTGGATATCATCCAACACACTTAAGCAATACGTGCCAACATGGTCTGCGTCACATGGCTAGTTTACTCCTATTTCAGCCCGAGTTTCTTTCTGGATTTGCTTCCAAAGACTTTGTTCACCCAAGAACAACCTTTCAAGGCAGCTGTTGTTTCATTTTGGAGTATTCCCACATAGATGGGTTGCTGTCCCCAGCTATCGAACCTCATCTGCCAGGTAGTCTGTGTATGGAATACCATTGTCTTATAATACACTTGCATATCCTAGGGCAGTAGCGTAGCGAGGGGGGGGGGGGCGGGGGGGGGGACATATGTCCCCGGGCGCCGACCTTAGGGGGGCGCCAAATTGAAAGTTTGAGGGGGGGTGCAAATGAAAAGTTCGAGGGGGGGGGGGGGTGCAAATCGAAAGTTTGAGGGGGGGGGGGTGCAAATGAAAAGTTCGAGGGGGGGGGGGTGCAAATCGAAAATTTGCTCCCAAGGGGCGCCAAATTGAAAGTATGGTCCGGGCGCCGGGAAGGGTCGCTCCGCCTCTGTCCTAGGGTGCTAAAAATATTTGCCCATGTTAAAACGGCAGCCCGTAAAATGTTTAAGAAGCCGTTGTGCTGGGTTAGGTTTTAGATTTTGAGTGAAAAAGTACGTGGATAAGTGTAAGTCTATTCAATATGATCAAATATTACCAACAATATTCTGCATTTATCGCTACTAGTGCTCAACGATTCAACCAAAATAATTTGTAAAAAATGTCTATTATTTTAAATACTGTGTTTAAAAGATGAGTTTCAAGTTCAATGTATGTATTTTAAGCAATATAAAAAGCTAGCGTTTTTTTTTAAATTACCATTATAGTTGATATAATGTTTTAGGGTGAAAGTGAAATAGCATAAAAAATTTGCAGATTTACTCATTTTTAAAATAGGATACAAAGATAGTTATATAAGATCTCATTGGATCGTAAATTGTTTCAACAGTGGAACAACGTTTAGGACGCTTTATTTTGGAAATATTGTTTGAATAATATTAAGAGAAGTGTCAAAGAATTTTTAAAGGTGGTTTTAGATGTTAAAGAATTTTTATAAACAAGCAGATGTTTGTAAATTTGATTGTAATAACATTCAGATACGCTGACTACTAACAATGGACTATAAACTTGATGTACATATAACTGAGAAACATTGCAGACTTAAAGTAGATTGTAAATGTGATTGTCGTTTTTGGAAAACATTCCACAAAAACAAACTGACTTTTTCAGACTGTATTCCCTGAGTGTGGTGATGTGTATGAAAGGTGTATACATAGGACGGATCACTGCGTGTGTGTATATTCTATAGCGAAACGCGAGGCCGGGTATGTTGACGTGTATGTTGTTGTACGGAGTGAACGAGGGTACAAGGGAAGCGACTGGTCGAGTGACAGCGGGTGTGTTGTGAGCGGGAGAAAGGAGGTGTAAAGGAATGAATGGAGTGGACAGTTGAAGGCTGGAGCAAGAAAGTGAAGGGAGAAGCGAAATACATGAGATTAAACTTGACTGTCAAACCTAACCTCTACGAGTTTGTTAGTGTATATACGTATACCTGATTCCTGACGCCTTCCACTGTGATTATTTTCTGTTATTTTGTGAATTTTTTTAATGTGAACTTGATACCTGTTATAATAGTTCCGTCGTGTAAATTAAATTCAATTTTGAAAAACTGCGCTCTTCACTGTGGAAGTGTTAGTATTCTTAAGGAAATAACTTTCGGTACACATTCTTCCTTTCTTCTTCTTCGTTCTTAATTTTTAGTGCTGAAGGGATCGAGATTTATCTGCCAGTGGGTTTGAACCCGAGACTTTGTTCGAATTTATCAACCATGAGCTTTTTGCCGACTCGACCACGCCTTCAACACAATTTAGCGTTGCGTGTCAACTGGTTATGCTTTTCTTTTTGGATTTGCTTCCATAGCCTTTGTCCAACCAAGAACAAACTACAAGGCAGCAGTTGTTTGATTTTGCAGTTGTCTCTCCTAGAAGAGTGGCTGTCCCCAGCTAACGAGCCTTATCTGCCCGAGGGTTCGAACTCGAGACTGTTCGGTTTAGCAACCATGAGCTTTACAGACTCGACCACGCCGAACCCTCACAATCTTCCAATTTTGGTTGTACTATAAAGAGAAGCACATAATGGTGAAATAGGCTTTGAAAGCCTTTGAGCTACTACTTAAAGCTAATTTCAAAGACCATCATTAATACCTTTATTAGCGTTATGCGTCAACGACGTTTCTAAATGTTGGCAGTCCGTAAGTTAATCCGCAGGTGTCTTTTCTTGATATTGGATATATCATAAAGATAGAAAATAGAATATTATGTTGTTCTAATTGTTGGAGCCTCTATTTTAAAGACTGCACACACATATCTAAGATAATGCAATAGAATTCTTCTTTGAAAATCTAAATCTCTTCCTGGCTAATTCAAAGTGAGAGAAAACGAGACTTTCAATACAAACCCTATTTAAATAAACCGGGAGTGATCTCCCCTAAACTTTCTCAAATATTCTTATATGAAACAACAGGGGATGGCAACTCGGGATATGGACATGATTTTTAATCCATTTTAAATACTTTAAAAAAAAGAATAGAATCCAGTAAAAAAAAGAATTGCGAACCAAGTGAACGCCAAATATAATGTACATAATAGCACGGAATATTATTAGTACTTTATAAATTCACGTTTTTTGAGAAATTGGAAATTGCGAAAATTACTAGAATCTATTTCCGGTCAACAGAAATTACTCAAAATTTGAAAGAAGGCAGAGAATTAGATCTTTTACTTACATGTGAAATTTCATTTATCTATCTGAAACTACTCAAGTTATAGGCTTTTGAAAAATTGAAAGTAGAAATTGAAAGTAGCCTTAGCTACAATTAAATTAAATAGACAACTTTAGTCATGTGACATTGGGGGGGGGGGGGGGGGGGGAGAGAAGAGGTATTTTTAGGGGTATCATATTTTCCTGAAATTATAACTAGTCATGGGAGATGGGGAGGGAGGTATTTTTAGGGGTATCATATTTTACACAAATTAAGTCTAAAAAATTTATGCAGCAGGCTACTTAATCATCAAACAAGTTAATTAAAAAGTCTAGTGACATTTAAGCGCAATTTCCTTATGTTATCTAAAAATAGCTCTGTCGTAGCGTAAATCAAGAGCAGGGTTAGTAAAACCATTGGTTAGTTATTAAAACGTTTTTTATTAATTTTTTTTTCAGTATTTTACATGTTTTATTTACAATAGAGTAACATGACTAAAAACCATTGCGCGCCCAGCTACCGAACGTGACGTCGCAGCCATTGAACGTGATGGCGCAGCTATTGAACTTGATGACGCGTGTGGTGTGGTTGCATAAAATGCCTACTAATTCGGTCCAAATTTTAATAAATTCAAAAAAACTTTTGTGACCGAACGAAAGGATATTTTTGAAAACTTTCTTCGGCAATATTGTTCTAAATTATGGCAGGAATCGATTGGTACATGTTTCAAGTCGCTAAGTGGTCTGGTTGCCGAGATATGGGCCAAAAACTGCTTTTTTTTAAGGTTTTTTGGCTTTTCCGGGAAATCCATGAAAGAAACCCGTAATTTTTATGGCCTATGTTCATCATCGTAACTTGCTTAACATAATTGCTTTTGGACCTAGTCATCGATATTGCTTCGTTGAGGAGGAGATACGACTTAAAGCTGCGGACACACATCCATCCATTCATTCATACATCCAGAAATGACGGGTTAATAAACGCAATTCTCCAGAATGGAAATTGCGCTAAAAAATAAACATGAACAGGATCTATTATAAACTTACATTTAATCTTCTTATCAAAATGAACACAAATAAACTCTGATTTACAGCCAGCCAATCAGTCAACATGTAACACTTGTAGTCAAAGCTAAATTTCTATGAACATACACGAATTCCTCTATTCCAAACCAAGGCAGGCAGCAAAAGATTTTCTGTGAACAACTAGCTTAAAACATAATTCTAGTATGAGTATGAGATGTGTAGGTTAAGCCAATTTGTTAGGCAGCTTAACACTAATTACCACACTCAGATGTATTGAACTATGCAAATCAGTGACTCATTGTCATCAAAAAATTTTAATGCTACCTGGAATATAGCAACTAGGAAAACAATTACTGAATTATTTTTTTATAGATTGACAAGAAATGATGCTTTAATTTAACAATACCATCATTCGTTGAGTTACATTTCTTAGACATTTAATAAAAATACTCATAAAAATCTAATAAATTAACCTTTTCCCCAACTTTTCTACGTCAATATAATATTAGCCATTAATGTCCCGTAACGCCCGCTGCCGCCCGACACCGTTAATGTCCCGTAACGCCCGCTGCCGCCCGCTTACAATACTCATAGAAAAATTAAATTTGTTTCATTAAAATTTGGCCTACAAATCCTAATTTTTAACTAAACAGGAAGTCGGATAGTTTCACCATCCTTTTCCGGTGTTCTAATTTCAATGGCGCTTTTGAAAGATAAAAAATAATAGTTTCTTTCCATCTCGAAATTTTAGACTCATCTGTCCAATTTTTAGTTGATTTAATATTAAAAATAAAATAAAATAATGCCTCTAAACGTATCTAGGCATGTATTTTATGAATTATATATCTTAAAGATAATCAAATTGATATTTAACTGTTAAATTCGATGCATAGTTGTTTAGACAAAAATAAACAAAGTTGACTACCGAAAATGACCTGTTTTGAATTTTCTCCGACATTTTTTATTTTTATTCTGTACTTGTACCGAATATAATATATTCTATTTAATACTGTTGGAAAGCCAGGTTTATTCCCAACATTAAGCAGTAGTTTTTATCTTAATTTTCAATTTCATTTAGACAAAAACAAATATTTTGTGAAACTATTCACTTGATCATACAGAGTTATGCTCCTTACATTGGGCCGTCATGGGTGGAGTTTTGGTAGAATGAATGGGACATTAATGGTTAGTAAACTGTAATAACTAAGATTTATAAGTAGTTAAACTTTATATTTCGGTAAAGAAAAGCTTATCCAGTAGCAATGTAGTACACTATCAGAAACTTTCAGAATTAATCCTATTGTTATCACATCATAATAATAAACAAAAAGCAATTGAAGACAGACCAAATCACTCAGGCAGTGAGAGTAGTGTAGGCTGACCATGGGGCAGGTACACAATGTTCCTGGACTTTGAGAGCTGGAAGGCAATGTCCTCAGCAGCTTCAATCTTCCTCAGCTCAACCAGACCTTCACCAGCTTTGCCAAAAGCTTGAGCTAGAAGCTCTGCAGCTTTAGAATCACCCTCAGCTGATATAATGGCAGCTTTCTTTTGTTGTTCGGCCTAGAGAAAACAAAGTTACATGTCTTCAATACAGAGTTACAGAAACTTACAGTGTGAAAACAAGTATTGGTACTATCATCACCCATGACAAGATAGGATGAAGATCTAGTAATAGAGATTGTCCCATACATGTACACAGGGTTCGTACTGCTTTTTGAAAATGAAATTCCAGACTTTTTCCAGACATTTTCCAGACTTTTTTGGAAAAATTCCAGACTTTAGACAGATAATGTGTTAGCGAATAATTTTTTTAAAATGCACTATTTGTACTGTCATTATAATTATTTATACTAAATTGACATTTATTTTAGGCAATTGAGCTATATTCATAGTGAACTTTCTCTAGTCAAATTGACAAAAAAACATTTTTTTTCTAAGTTTGCCTACTCCACCCTACCTAAAATTTTAACAATTAAAAAATTGATTAAAATGATGCAGCTATTTTGTTTCCAACATTAGACTTATGTAATCTGTTCCTAATCTAATTGCTTATGTTTTCAATTAAACCATCATTAAAATGGTATTGCATAATAGTGAGAGTTAATTACTTTAAAGAATAATGTAATGTATTAATTTAGGTCTGCTCTTGTTAAGTAGCCTAAATAAATATAGGCTACTTGTAAAAAAAAAATGTGGAGCAAAAAAAAAAAAAAAATCATTCACTGTTTGTAGCTGAGAAACGGGTCTGCAATAAAAAAAAGTTGCCGGTATCCTTCTTCCCCCCCCCCCCCCCCCACAGACACTACACGGTGAAGGGGTCACTGTGATGTCATAGTAGTCTAGACTTCAGTATGCCTGTTTAATACGTCATAACATGAACTGTGCTGTGACTTATACCCCCTCCCCCACCCTACTTACTAAGCGGTACCAACTACGCACTTGGGGTCACGGTGAGTTCACACAAGTGACCGATGTTACAAGGAGGGGCGGGGTAGTCTAACTTTAATCGTCAGCATTTGCAAAGATTTCAAAAACAGTTTAATGGAAGGTGGATTAAAATTAAAGGGGTCATCCATTTATGACGTACACATGGATGTGATTACATTCTAAAACAAACATAAAACTTTTATCTTGCGAGTAGAAAGTAAAATTGAGAAGACTGTGCTGGTGTTTTAAAAACCATCACAGCGTGTAAATAAAACACGGTATGTATATCTGCCCTAACATTATTGCGAGAGCGTGTCGTCACTTTATAAAACCCTCCTCCCGACTTTCCGGAGTGTGACGTCATTTATGGACGACTCCTAAATAAAAATAGTACCTCTTTGTTAAGCTGAAGCAAACAGAAATACAGGTATGAACCCAAGGAGGCCTTGCGACTTATTAATCTTATAAATGTTAATATTAATCCAAAGTAAGTGAACGCGGTGTGGACAGAGGGCGGGGGAGTGGGGAAGGGGGGGGGGGGGGTCTAAAATCCGAAAAATTGTTGTAAGTCATAAATGGATGACGCCTTACAGACTGATAAATTATATCTAAGCTACCACTCACACATCCCCCCCCCCCCCCATAATTTTTTTTTATGACTGCCTGCATGCAAACTCAAACGATGAAAAAATAGCGGGTAAAATCGAGAGCTTAACATTGGTAACAATCATGACGGCGATCATTCTTTCATTAAACGACAATTGTAAGTACTTGTAACACATTCACACGGTCAGTCGTGCCACAAAATATCTCTTCCCTCCCTTCCCCTCTTCTCCCAATGACGTAGTAACTGAGCATTTTTTCTGCGAACCAGCGAAAAAACGTCACAACATAGTGTAAACCTGCGCGGGGAAAAAAATTTGAGTAAATTCACTTAAAACTAGCAATTTTTTAAGTTGGAAAATATGGACTACGAAGTTTTGTTTCTAAAACTAGATTCCAGACTTTTTCCAGACTTTTAAAAAATTCTGCCCAAAAACTAGCGATTTTCCAGACTTTTTTAAGTCTTAAATTCACTTTTCGAAATTCAAGACTTTTTCCAGACTTTCCAGACTGCGTACGAACCCTGTGTACATATAGAAACCCACCCACCACATTACAATACTATAGGAGGTAATGACATCTAAATAGGGGGGTATGAATGCAATAGTGGGACAGAGTGGTCTAGTGGTAGAGAGCTGGACTGCTAACCCGTAAGTCTCGAGTTCGAATCCGGGTCCAAGTCAGTAGATCGTCCCTGAGTCCACCCAACTCTGATGGGTACCTCACATTAGGGAAAGTAAAGGCGGTTGGGCATAGTGCTGACCACACTATCTCTAGATATGCCGAGGTCACAGAAACAAGTGAACTCTACTTCACTTGCCCCATAGACCGTCAGGTTTGAAAGGGAAACTTTACTTTATGAATGCATATGTTGTACTGAAATCGTCTTCTACTAATTAAATACTACAGATACAAGCATATTCAGTTGATTTTATATTAGTTAATATCTCGCCTGTTATAATAAAACCATAACTTCAGCTGCTATAACACTATTATAAATTTTCACATTTTCAATTGGTTTTATTAAATTTTTTAAATTGTACATAGTTTACTTTTTGGTTTAGCAGAACATACTTTGATGGGGGAAAAAATGGATTGTACTCACTTTTTCTACAATGTAACGAGCCCTCTCTGCTTCCTGTTGGGCTACTTGTTTGGCTTCTACAGCTTCTGTGAATTCTCTTCCAAATGTTAGATGTGTCTGAAGAAAATAAAATATGCCTGAATATTGTGTCAAAAAATTTACATATGGGCAATAAAACAGGTAATAAAGATCCCGTAAGTTAACTCAGGGAGAATAGTTACCAAAGAAATGTCATCAAGAATAAGACCAAACTGTAACGCCCTCTCTGTCAGCTCTTCACTAACTCGGGTTGATACAAGCTCTCTCTGTGTTATCAAATCACTGGCATCAAACTGGGCCTGAAATTTGATAATGTATGTGGTTAATGAAGATAAAACCATACAGTGAAAAGTAACCAGATGAAAAAAAACCTTTCAGACGTGGCTGTTTAACTACCCACATACAGATTTTGGACTGCTAAATTAAACAGAAATCAAGGCCCGTAAATGGGGATGGATCGGACACACATTAAGAAAAGAAAACATAGCAAAACATGCTTTGGACTGGAATCCCCAGGGAAATAGAAGGGTGGGCCGGCCAAGAAAGACATGGAGAAGAACGGTTGAAGAAGAGGCGAAAACAGCTGGGGTCACATGGACACAGATAAAGGGGGCAGCCCGAAACCAAGTCCGATGGAGATGTGTGGTTGCAGCCCTTTGCTCCCCAGGGGCCACAAAGGAATGATGATGATGATGAAATTGAACTACTTACAACAACGGCTTTTAGAACTTCTGTTGTGATGGACGGCAGGACCCTCTCATCATAATCAATACCAAGGTTTGTGTAGATCTTGGGTAAAGCTGGGACTTGAGGCCTGAAGAGAATTCTTAGTGTGATGTTCACATTTTGTAAATCTGAAATGGAAAAGTGTTTCAAATTTACTTTACACCAATATCTGAGCAGTAACTATTATTTGCATGTACTATGAAGAAAATTAACATGAAATAAAATACCCTTACTTATGGAAAGAACAGGAAAAAAAATGCTGAACGTTAATACATTAGAGAATGTTTAATATTTTATAGTATCAGACACCTGAGCAAAAAGGATAGATAGAATTTGTGTATTATTGGTAAATTGCACCCAATGCTAAGATTTACCATTTAATGACAAAACTATAATTTACTGAAAAAAATTTAAACAAACCTTTGCTGCCTGTCCATTTAATGACAAAACTATAATTTACTGAAAAAAATTTAAACAAACCTTTGCTGCCTGTCCATTTAATGACAAAACTGTAATCAACTGAAAAAAATTTAAACAAACCTTTGCTGCCTGTAAATGTGGGAATATTCCTTGGCTTAGAACGAATATCAAAAATAATAGGTTTCTGGACCCATGGGATGAGAAAGTGTGTCCCTTCACCAACTACCTCATCTTGTACACCACGTAACCTGTCAAAGATAACAGCTCTCTGACCACCATCAACTGCAATAAAAAAACATAGGTTAAGTTTTCTGTTGGCACTGTAAAATTAAGCTATATGGGATGATTTTAGATGTCCATGTCAGATAATAAACTCTTCCATAAAATAGGTGTGTTAGGTTGTTAGTAGTATTGTAATCTCGACTAGTATTATGGTTAGAAATTAGGGTTAGGCGTATGGTAGGACTAGGGTTGGGGACAGGGTTAGCATTGACATTAGCAAGCCATGTGTGTATTTTAGTTAACTACTAGTAAACTTAAACCCCTTTTTTAAGAGGATTCTTATCGAACACTGGTATAAATATTCCCCCAAAATTGTATAGGCCCTATAGGACTATCTAAGTCCATATTAAACTGACATGCCAAACAATCTTATATTCCAATTATTCATGATATGAAGTATGCTATTTGCCTACTAATAACTAAAGCAATGTGATTTCCCAGTAACCCCTAGGTGTTAGGATTTGCTCCAGCTAACAAGAAAACATGAGAGGGTAATCACGATGGTGAAAATTTGGAATTAGCACAGGCTGTATCTATTTGGACCCAAGATGTTTTCTGATTAATTAGATGTTTTGCAAAGCATTAAAAATAAACGCACACAACAGGGATTAAAACAATTGAATAGGCCTAGCTTTAAATACGCTAGAATGCGTGTGTGGGCTGTTTCAGAAGAAGTAATTTCCGTTGTTTTTTCCTAATTTTTAGAAGTTCGTAAATAAGCCTAACTGCCAAAAAACAATAAACTATGGAAAATTACATCAATTGATAGTATTCTACCTTTTATACCACATTTAGTGGAAAACTCTTAAAAATTTGGTCCATACCCTCCCAGTATTTTTCCTCTTTCATGGTCTATCCCGGTTGTCCGAAACTGCTATTTTTCAATGACTAAACAATTCATAACTTTTTTGTTTATGGTCAGATTTTAAAAATTCAAAGTGATCTACAATCAAATTGAAAGCCTCTATCTGAAAATGTAACTATTATATTGTTTTACTAATATTAAATTTTTGCATTAGCTTTGCTCATTCTATTCTTGCTGGGCTAAAACATTCACATCGTCTCACAATTTTTTAGTAATTTACCCCAAATTACTAAAGGCCGATGCTAGCCGGAAAAAGATACGCATGCGCAATGGAGAGAAACTACGACTTGCCATTGCGGCGATGTTTTCGATGGTACTGCGCATGCGTGTCTTTACAACAGCAAAACCTTACCTAACACCAACCCTATTTCTATTCCTAACCCTAATTCTATCCCTAACCCTAGGTCACTGCGCATGCGCAGAGCTATCTTTTGCCGACTAATGACTAAGTGGAGACGTTGGGGAGAAAAATCTTCGGAGTAGTCATTTTGGTTTCTAAATGGGCATTTTATTGCCCTGCAACACTTCGCGTCTCGTATTATAGAATTATTTTAAATATAGATTTAGAATCTATTAGATCTAGCCTTACTACTAGATCTAGCAATCCTAGATTACAAACACAAAATCTCTATTCTCTAGAATCCTAGAATCTAGTTTTACTGAGTTGGAATGAGAATGACCTCTACACTAGGCCGTTCGATTCACAGCTTCCGGGTTTGTTGTTTTGAAGCCATCTCATGGCTCATGCGCTTACCAAAAATGGCGACCAGTTTCGCTTTCACTAAACGGTAGAGGGATAAAACTAATAATAACGAGGCCATCGTTAATTTTAGACATCGGAACTATCCGTTTCTATTTCAGTCTGTTATTTAAGAATTCCCAGATGTACTTTTGACCTAATTTCTTTATTTGTATTTAACGAGGCCGTCGAGAGAAAGTCACGCTTACTTAGCTTGCGTTTCAAGTCGAATAAACTAAAGCAGGTGCGTTATCCAATAACTTTTTTATTAGACCCAATTTTTATAACATCTTTACTATCAAATAAAAATAGAATTGTTTAATATAATTAGGCTGACAACAATGCTTTTCATGCTGTAAGTAATAATGCCATTTTATTATATTCTTGTTTGGTGAAAACGAGGCGCGGGAAAATGTGTGCCGCGTAAGAATCCAATCATTTGGCTAGATTTATGACTGTTTTTTATGTCACACCTAAAAATAGAATGTTTACGCTTTCTTCGTTGATGATCGTTTTTATTATTTTTTAAATTGAAAGTATGAATTATTAGTTAGATTGCAGATTTTGTAACTTGGTATACTTACCCTTTATCAATTTTAAAAACATAGCATGCTGATTGTAAACAAATATAGTCATAAAACACAGAAATATAAAGTTATAATTGCGATGTGCCACACCCGGGCCACACCCCCTCAAGAAAGCATGTGTTTATTAAGCTGTTTATCTTACTTTACAACTGTAATTAAAATTAATTTTCAAATTTTTATCACTTATTGGGTAAGATTAAGCACATGTTTACCAAAAATAAAAAAAATAAAAAAGCAAATTCTGTTTTAATGAAGGTCACGGGTGAAGTTTTTTTTTCCTTCTGTCACGTTCAGTGGAGGGTGCCACAGGCTGACCTGACTTTGGAATTTTTTTCAGTAATAATGACTTTGCACAGAAAGTTAAAATATGCTAAATTAGCTTAGTTTACTAGTGTTCTAGCTATTATTGATACATTTTTAATAAAAAAAATCATTCTGTAATTCTCATCAAAAAGCCTATCTACACTACTGTACAGAGAGGACTCGGTAGGTTTTAAACCAAGCGTATAGAAAAATAAATTTTATTGCACATTGCTTAAAAGATCTGTTGCAAACCATTGTAAAGGGCTGATTGAACAACTCCTCCTGTTACAGCAATAGCGAGGCCAAGTTTTCCGAGGCTATTGAAAATCCGTGACATTTTTTACCACTGATGAAACCGACGCATGGAAAATACGGAAATGGAAGAGTTCTCACATGCGCAGCTCCATTGTTTTAAACTCTATTTACCGTACCTTAACACTTTAACTAAAACACAACAAAAATAATATTTTTGAAAATATTATAATAAATTGACTCCTTGAATAAGGTTTATTCCATATTGCAATCTCAGAAATTTAGCAAAAAAAAAGTAATACCAAGAAACGAAATTGTGTATTTATTGGTGGTAAGTTCGAACAACAAAGCACGCATCACCATTTTTATTTAGCTAAAGAATGAAAGAATGTGGTGTGGGTAGGTCTGCTGATAGCCAGTTACCCTTTCAAACGCTACATAACAAAACAACAAACATCTTCAGAAACTATTGTAAGCCTATATACCTAAACTATTTAACCTTTCCCCCAAACCAGCCGTTAAAAAAACGATATTTATTTACTTATTTTTTCTTTTGATTTTTTAGGGGAGGCTATCATAAAAAAAAACTTGTCACCTAAAACAAAAATTAAAAGAGTTGTGTTTCTTAGATTAAAGGGGATTTAACTTATTGATTCAGTGTGGATCAAGTAGATACCAATAATATGTTGCAAGGTTAGGAAGGTATCCAGTTCGGGTTTCGGTTCGGACATGTGACTGCAGGACGTCACTGAGTCCACCCAGCTTTAAATGGGTAGCCTACCTAACTTGGGGAAAGCTGACCACACTATCCCTTTGTGTGTCGAGGTCAAGAAACATTAACTCTACCATATCTGTCTGATCGCTAGGTCTAAAGAGAGACTTTATCTTTTATAATATTTTTTTTATACATAAATGTCTATTTGTAGTGCCCCCTTTGTAGTGGTGATGTCAGAGTTTATTCCAGGCATATCTTCGGGGAAGGGGGCACTGCCCCCTTCCCCGAAGAAAGTTTACCCCCCCCCCCCCCGAACGAAATGGAATTTATATAGAAATTATATACTTTTGACAGTGTCCGCCCCCCCCCCACACGGAAATTGTTGTCCGCCCCCCCCCCCCCCCGAAAATTTCAAGTGCACCCCCGGTGCGTGTTTAAATTTCAGCGGTGCAGTCCCCTTCATAATTGACAATGCTGTCTAAATATTGCTACTGACATGCAACAGCAACATCGCGCTTTTGAGGCTGATTCTATTACCTCCCCTTACCCCGTTGTCACACAATTTAAACATAACTTAACACAGTTAACTGATCTTAACGTTGTGTTAATATTGAATAATTAAAGTGAATTAAAGTGAACCATTCGAGTGTGTATATCCTCATCCCACCCCCCCCCCCCCAACTTTTTTAAAGACGTCAAAATGTAGCATCATTCTACCCCGCCCCCATACCAACAAATACTGAATTAGTTTTTTGGCTAGTTTTTTTCGTAAGGGGAAATAACCAATAAATTTGCGTGATGTTGATTTTACCGAAAACAAAAATGATAATCACTGATTAGATGCATACATTTTTGCAAATGCGGCCAAGATTGAACACATTAAATGGTGTTTTTTATAATAAAATATTTATCACAAAAAATATCCTTAAAATTCAAAATTGCTCTTGAAATTCCGCTTAAAAGAAATGAAAATTTAAAATGCAGTGGTGTGACGTCACACTTTCTTAACACCAGCACACCCCCGCACTTGTCACACACTCCAAGGCCACTACATCTCAGGAGTGCTACTCCTTATAATGCCTACGCCCCCTCCACACACACATAGTCACCTGATGCTAAGACAAGCTGTAAAACTTTTTTTTTCTAACACACTTCTCGTCTTAAAAAGATAAAAAAAAATCACTTTAATTCAATTTTATTTTATTTTACTGTTGAGAATAGTCTTCTTTGCTATTGTTTTGACCTGAACTTGTTTTATTGCTGAGATGTGTGAACAATCTTTATGGATAATTATTTTATTTATATTTTTTAATTTATTAAGATGTCTGAACCAAACTGTTATTCTTACAAGGAGAAGGTCTATTTATGAATACATGATTTTATAATATCATTTTAGTAATTTTAGCTCGAAAATTAATACATTAGCACAATTTTAAAAGTTAATGACAATTAAAAAAAAAAGTTTCTTGAAGACGGTGTGCTTAAATTCTTTGTGTTAAATAAACGCTTTGCATAAGAGGGAGTTACTAAAGAGATTGATCGAGCTATGTTTTTCAATGGTCCGCAACGGCTCCCAGCGAATCTTTTTTCATGCATGCTGAACTAAAGGACCAACACTTATCATCAAAAGAACTTTTTAAAAACTTTTTTTTTCTTTCTTCCGTGAAAATAGTTCTTTGATGACATCGCGTTACCGCTAACAGTGCGAATACCCCTGTACTTTACTAGATTTGTACGGAACAAAAGCAAATATTGAAACAGGTAGCCTGAACAGCAAAATGAAAAGAAAAAGAAAACGAAATAAAATTAAAACATTGAAGTGTTGCTTTAGAACGCTACTGTAGAACTAACAGAAGTATGTACAATTTTAATAAATTAATAAGTATTATTTAATACGTATATTGTTACACAATGTTTATAAAAAATGTTTTCGGTCTTTAAAATAAAACACAAGCTCTACTGTAGACAAAAAAAACCCTCTCTGTCCAGTTAAATTAGACACGAGAAAATTCGTCTCAATATTAAAAAATCGCCCTTCTTTTCTAAGCTTTGCGGTACTTTTATTTGCATTTAAAAGAAATAGAGCACAAAAAAAGATGTGTGAAAAGTGGGCTGTGCCAGTAAAGCCATGAGATTAACAGTGTAAATAATAGTATTTAAACATTCTTTTAAAGAATTCTTTACAGCATTTTCGTATCTTGCGATATCGCCACCCTAAAAAGATTTGCATAGAAATATATATATATATATATATATATATATATATATATATATATATATATATATATATATATATATATATATATATATATATATATATATATGCCTATACATATATGCCTTTACATATATGCTTATATATGTGTGTTTATGTGTAAGAGTGTTTATGTGCATTTGTGTGCGTGTTTGCGTCTGTGTGTCTTTTGTATATGTGTGTCAGTCTCTTTATTTTTTAAATACACACAAGAATGACATGAAATTAGCTAAAGGGAACTAAACTAACTGTGATAAAGATATCCTAAAGGAAAATTGTTACTTTCGGTATATCATCGACTTTTTTATCTCGATTAACGACAAATTTCTTTATTCATTCCTTTCATTCTTACAGTAAATATGACGCTTTTAATATAGTAGCTTTTCACACTAAATGTGTGGTCTAGTAAATAGAATTAACAAGTATCGATATAATATGTAATACGATTCCGCCCAAATGTGTGACCTAGCCTATAGAATAAACCAGTATCGGGCTGTGGGCGATTAATCGAGTAAATTAGCTTAGGATCGAGTTTCACAAAATGCGATTACTGTATTTTGAGAAAGCGCAAAGCCTATATCAAATAAGTTTTTTTTTTACTTCAAAAAGAGAAGGGATTGGGGCAACGGCTGTATTTTTTTATATGATCCCGAGGATTTAAAAAAAAAAATTTTTTATTCATCCGGGTACCAGCAACCATTTTGTCGAGTAGTCTGTTGTCACGAAGTCTACCACGATGGACTGAGTCAACAATGAAGCATGCTTTAAAACCGTAGTGCCGATCTATGTCAAGATACGGAGAATCCTTCTCTCTGTTAATTTGAGCACATAAAAATGTTAATTTCTAAAGGGAATATTTGGAGTTCTCGTTGAACAGGCTTGGTCGTGACGTAGTGACACTAGGTGGCGTCTTGTGTTGACCCAGAAATTTTGAACGTCGCGCGAATGCTAACTTCCGGTGTTTGCGGGTTGCCAGGAAAAGTTGAATTAAAAAGGCCGAGCGCATCCCGCTACTTACTCTCAACGTGGGCGTAGGCCGAAATCTGAATCACGAACAGTTTCTTCCAGGCATCTCTACAATTCCCCCCCCCCCCCCCTTCCCCCAACGAAATGGAATGTATATAACAATTATTTACTTTTAACAGTGCCCCCCCCCCGAAATTTTAGTCCACCCCCCCCCCCCTCGAAAAAATAATTTCAAGTGCCCCCCCCCCCCCCGGAGAAAAAAGTCGGTTCTCCTAAATCACGCACCGCCAATTTTTTTTTCAAAGTTTCATGGTAAAGTTACATAGCTGTTGATTTCAAATAATGAAATAAGTAGTAAATGCAACGAGTAAGTAAGTAAAGTAAAGTTCCCTTTCAAACCTGATGGGCTACGGGGCAAGTGAAGTAGAGTCCACTTGTTTCTGTGACCTTTACTTACCGTAACGTGAGTTACGTACCCATCAGAGTTGGGTGGACTTAGGTTAGCAGTACGGGTTAGCCCTACCATGTCACCCTACCTAAAGGCTTATTGATTTACAATGTCCATGTTGGTCTTCTTCTTCTTCGTTCTTAATTTTCGCGGTGGAAGGGATTCCCTCTCAGTATTACGTGTCAACTGGTTATGCGCTAGATATGCCGGTGACTCAGATTTCAGCCTGCTTTTCTTTCTGATTTGTTTCCATAGCCTTTGTCTCGAGATTTTTCGGTTTAGTAATCATGAGCTGTACCGACTCGACCACGCCGACCCAGAATCTAAATCTCCATCTAAGTCTTCAGAAAAAATATCCGTAACTTTTACGGACAAAGACATTTATAACTAATTTAAAGTTTACAATATTTTTTGGAGCGGTATTTAAAGTTATATTTGAGTACGTAACGATGACCGGCAGAAAACAATTAAACAACGACTATGGATTTATTTATTTTTGTCCGCTCTTATGCGAGTAGTAAAGTTCCCCTTCCAAGCCTGAAGGTCTATGGGGCAAGTGAAGTCGAGTTCACCTGTTTCTGTGATCTCTGTTACCTCGGCATATACTTTCCCTAACGTGAGTGGGGTGGACTCATAGACGGTCTACTGGCTTGAACCCGGATTTGAACTCGAGACTTACGGATTAGCTCTCTACAGCTAAGCCACCCTCGTCCCATTCTCTTGTGAGTAACAGGTTCAAATAAAAGAATCCGTGTGCGGAGTTTACTCTCAGCCC